CCCCCCCCGTTACACGCGAACAGGACCGTTTATTACACTTACCGCACGAATCCTTCCTCAGATTGCGTCGGCGTCTCTTCACTGTTTTTATCTTGCGAACAGCCGCACGCTTCTCTTCCCGTGAGGGCTTGTGGGGCCCAGCAGCAGAAATGTCAAAGGGCTTGTCTATTTTGTTTTTGAAAGCCACCAGTCGATCTGCGTACTGCGGACGGGTTTCGTCCTTACGCAGACTTGCGAAATCCTTGTATACATTTTTAATTCTGTTAAGAATATTCCCTTCCAGAATCGTATGATTATTGCGGACCAACCAATGGGCGCGCAATTCCTGGGCGACTTGTCTAGCACTAACTTCAAACGATTGTTTTTGTTTGCCGTCATGCATGCGGTGGAACACAACACGCATCACATCAATCCCTGTTGGCTGAGCAAGGCAGGGCAGAGCAGGAGTTGTGAACTCAAACACTCGCTTGAACGTAGCCATATCACAATCAGAATGCACTAAGTAAACACGGCGATCGGGTCGAGCCAGCCACCTGGCTCCGGCGCTCACTCGCTCGCCTCTCACTAGCGCACTGACTGCCGGCTTCCGTTCGTCACCCAGCCGGTGCCACTGCCACGCCCCCCAACGCCACGACGCCACCGCAAGACAATGTCGGTTCATAGCGAAGTCTTCAAATCGCGCGCGCGGGCGAACGGAACTGGCTGGCCGGTCCGTGCAGTGCCGCGCCAGGCGAGCCGAGCGGCGCGCGGTGTCAAACGGACGGCGCGACCAAAAGTCACAAACGCGTTGCGCAGTGGGTAAACGATGTCGTAGGACAACGGGGGGGACGGCGTTGGAATCAGACGACCTAGACGCACCTAAAAATCGTCGACTGGACAAAATCAAATTTTTTTGAAACACCCTATTCATGGTGTCCTACACTTCTGACTGTTGAACTGAACAACGCTTGAATTTCCAGAGCACACGTTTAAAGATTATAACAAAATTTCTTAGTGGGCTCTTAAATGTTGTTTTTGATGTGACCATCGGATTCTCGTAAAATTTCCGATTTCCGATCAAATGAGCCCACATGTTGATTGGGACACTACTCACACAGTTTCCGTTGATCGAGAATTTTACGAGGAATCCGATGGTGACATCGAAAATAAATTGATGAGTTCGTTTAGCAGTTATTTTCAAGAGACATAAATGATGAGTATGGCCGAGCGAGTGGCTTTTATAATCTCCTAACAGGAGGCGGTCAAACACCGATCGAAAAAAAAAATCCAGGTATTTTTGCGGAATTCGCGAGTGAAATTTGACGAAATTCACGAGAATTTTTGACCACTTGAGATGCAAATTTGCCTTTCATAAGGAGGGTGTGTGTCGTAATAGGCAACAGTTAGAGTTTATACACTGTGAGAAATCAACGGATCAGAGCGGTAGTTATTTTCCATAGGCGTGTCCGTATCGTGAATTAAGTTGTACGGTCGTAGAAAACGGTTGTTCCGTCATTTCTAGAGTACGGCCGTACTTGCTCCGGAGCAGACGTATCAACACATATTATTGAAACTTAAACCACAATTTGCTCATGGTAATTTTAATATTATTTCTGCCTGAGCGTTAGCGATTAGATTTTTGATGCTCCCATAATAGACTTGACTGCTTCGACCTCTACCCACCGACCTCTCAGGGACAAATTAGAACAAATCTATAAATTTTCACAGTGGAAATACTTGTATCAGCGCAATGAGAAAATGCTGCAGGACGTGTGCTTGTTAAATTACAATTTCAAAAGAGTAACATTACTAGCATTACATGTAAATCAGTGACAAGCCTATGTGGGCTGCCTTAAATTTATAACTTATTTTCTAAAAAGTAAATTACTAAATGTGTTACAAAATTCTCAAAGGTATTTTTAAGTGTTTTACAAGGATAATTAAAAGGTGGCATTTGCTCCCATGTCGCACGTTCCTAATTTCTTTTTATTTATTTTTTTCTTGGAATTGCCGAACAGATGCTGCTCGAAGCGAATGCTCCGTCTGCAATAAGGCTGACAGCATGCCTTGTTCGACCTGTCGCTTGGACTACTACTGCAGCGTAGCCCATCAAAAACGAGATTGGCCTCGTCACAAGTTGGTGAGTAAGATAATTATGACATGCATTTTCTTCCCCTTACATGACGGCCCTTCTTGTCGTCGCAAGTCCAAACAAGTTTTTCCAGCGTCTTGGCTTTCCCTCGCCGGCTACTGTTGAGTTTCTAGCAGATGATACCCTATATACCCCTTACTAAACATAAAGAATATATAAGTAACTTTAATGTGTCGGTGCCATCTAGCTTCCACTCTCGATACCACAGGAGAACCAAGCAGAGACCAGAAAACTTATTATTTGGCGCTTAAGGGGATCGTGTCCGAGTGCCCGAATGTATCGCGCTAGGCTCCTTGCCTTAGGCTTTGGTTAACAATACTGGGCCACCGGCGCCGGCAGCTCTGCGACCGCCCCCCATATCCTCTACGCCAGCATTACGCCGAATAAACAAGATTGCTAGTAACACGTAGCCATGAGAGCAAATAACAGCTGATACTTATTTTATTAAATTTGTATCAGCTGCTTTCAAGATCGATTCTTGATTGAGAATTTTTAGCAGATGATACTTCTAGTATCACTGCTTGTTCAACAGCTATATGGGTAGCGTTTACGATGGCCAAGGTCCAGTATTGTCATCAAAACTGGGCCATCACCCTTTTAAATATTATTATTAGTAGGAGGAGGGGGGGGGCGAGGGGTACCCAACTCGCCAAAATCGCGTACGAAGACTGGAAGTAGGAATGACTGTAGTTGATTGTAATATATTGGAACGACTGTAAAATACTGTAGAGACTGAAGATAAAGAAATGATTGTGTGCGATTACATATGACTGGAGGTGACTGGAGGTGGGACTGGAGGTGGGACTGGAGGTGACTGGAAAGTGACTGGAAAGTGACTGGAAGTGACTGGAGTGACTGGAAGTGATTGGAAGTGACTGGACGTGACTGGAAGTGACTGAAAGTGACTGGAGGTGATTGGAGGTGATTGGAGGTGTGACCGGAGATGATTGGAGGTGATTGGAGGTGATTGGAGGTGTGACCGGAGATGATTGGAGGTGATTGGAGGTGTGACTGGAAGAGACTATGGAGGTGACTGGAGAAGCTGCAACATGAGTAAAGTAGACGTCGGTAACGCCGCGTTAAGTAGGCAACCTATAATACAACAGGCAGAGGTTGGCAGTTGACTAGAATTGACTGGAGTTGACAGGGTGACTGGAGGTGATTGGAGGTGACTAGAGGTGACTGGAGGTGATTGGAGGTGACTGGGGGTGTGACTGGAGGTGATTGGAGCTGACTGGAGCTGACTGGAGGTGATTGTAAAGATTGGAGAGACTGTAGACAGACTGGAAAAGACTGGGAAGATTGGAGTTGATTGTGAATGATTATAATTTGATTATTTTACCAAGCGTACGAAGACTGGACCAAGTTAGGTACCCCTCGAGGGGGGGTCAGATGCCCGCGTGGTAACGTATGGTATCAGTTTGTCAGTAGTTTGTCATCTCGCCAATGACAAACGGATGACAAACTGATGACAATCCAATGATGCAATTTGATGACATACTGATGACAAACTGATGTCAAACGCAAATCGGCGTTCCGTCATCAATATGTCATCAGTATGTCACCAGTTTATCAACCGTTTGTCTTCGACGAAAGATGTGCACAAAAATGCGACTTTTCAGAGACAAAATAGTCCCTTCAGTACTAAAGCGATGGATTAACAGTAAATGCTCGTTTTCTTCTTTGTCGACAGGGTTGTGGAGTGCTAAAAGTGGAAAGGAGTTCGCGAATTGGGAGGTACCTCATCGCGACAAAAGATATCCCTGCTGGAACTGTTGTACTTCGTGACACGGCATTCCCTGTTCCCAACTACAACACAGACCTGCCCCAGGTAATGCCATTAAAATGTGTTAATGTGACATGTTTAAACTGTCAAAGTTTTACAGAATAAACTACAACTTTTTGATTAGAAATAGGTGAAAAATTATATTTGCAGAGGGGAAGTAAACAACAAACTTGGTCACCCTATTTTGTTTGACTTAAACTTCGCGTTTTTTTTAGTAAATGTGTTTCCACCGTCATCCTCCAGCGGCATATCTCGTGTCGAAATCGCGGTTTTTCTACTGTCCTAGACCTATCCGTTGAGACACGACTGTGTGCACTCCAGGCAGCTGTCGGTGGTCAAGATAGTCTTGTTACCGGAGAGGGAGCGCATCCGCGCCTAGCTTCTTCCTAATGTAGCTCCATTTGTATTTTGAACCTAACAATTATTCAACACTTCAAATTCAGTTTCAGTCTCAGTTTTATTTTGGAAGCCGTTAGGACATGGGGAGTGAAGTGAAGAGCATATACGTCCACGTAAAAATAAATGTTTTGTCTACAGGTCCTCTGCGCGGCCTGCTGCAAAGTGCTGTCCGCCACCGGCTTCACTCAGTGCTCTCTGTGCGGCTGGCCCGTGTGTGGCGACGCGTGCGGCGGGGGACCGGGCCATCGGCGGGAGTGTGCAGCTTTCCAGCGCGCCGGTTTCAAATTGGCAAAATGTAACGTAGAGTCGCTTTACTCTTTATCTGAAAGGATTTCTTTTTTTTGTCAAGCCACAGAAAGATGCATTTTTGTGCACTCTGCCTCACTTTAGAGAATGACGAAATAGCACAAATTAGTATTAATCATATGAGAACTTGTCCGTCAGAAACGATGCAAGTTTGTCCCATAGCCAGTGGCGTATTAAGGGGGGGCGGACAGGGGGGGCGGTGCATCGAAAGTTGCCTACATACAGGGGTTTTGTAGGTCAAATTGCCTACCTTTAGGCGGCTATCTAGTGGCCCACAGGGGGGGCGATCGCCCCCACCGCACCCCCCCTTGATACGCGCCTGCCCATAGCTAGATTCAAATCTACTTCCGACTGAGATGTGCTCCAAAACTTGTCTTTATGTCGCATTCTGTGGACGAGAGTAAACTCTTGATGGACCTAAAGTGTGCACTAGGAAAAAGATGATCAGTTCATTCCTTCTTTTAATGGCACTAAATGTTTTGTGCCCTTACAATGGCCCTTTGTTATATTTACAGAGGCGCCAAATTTAAATTTCTTATTTAGCAACCTTGGAACGGTACGACTTAGTACCTCTCTGTTGCTAGTGTTCTTACAGCTCTCACAGGGGCGTGTCTTTCCTTTAGTACATTTCTCGCTCTTTTATTTCATATAGGTGAGCTGCAGGGCAACCACAAGCTCATTTGGCGGGCCCTGGGTGCTCTTAAGACTTATTTTGGGACCCTGGAGCACAGCTGGCTGCGAGATCTTCAGAGTGACTACGTCCACGACGCAACTGATAAGGAAGTAAGGCGTTCTTTAAGTTTTCATTTTTTTTTCTCGTCCCGTACTATGCCATCCCCATCAACATTCTCCAGATTGATGTAAAACGATGGGGATCAACTCTGTTTTAGAGGCTAAACCTGATAGCTGGAAGCCAAGAATTCGATACCCACAACCAACTCCTGCTTGGTGGTAATCGGATTCTCGATTCCAGCCAACTGGGCAGTTCCGTTTCCGCCGCTCCACCTACCCGAAATACCCTATTTAGCCTATCATTTATTTTCAACGTAAATTTTGAATTTTGAAAAGTATACAACTATTCTGTAACTTTGATTCTTAGTGTGACGGGCCACTGTTTACTCCATGTGTGTGTTGTGTACTTGTAAAATAGAAAGAGTTCAGCTACACACGTGAGAATTTAAAGGTAGGGGAGGGGGACACTTTTGGGCAATCAATTAATTCTCATCTTTTCTGACTTAAAATCAACTTGCTAACTCTCACACCGTTTTTGCCCACTTTGACTTAGGCCTCGGTCCACTCCATGGTTGTAAAACGTTCGGTAACGAAGTACCGGCGTTACCATAACTCATTACTCGTTCCGGTCTAAATGTCAATGTGTAGGAACAAATTTCAAAGAATGGTACGAGTTTACACGCATCCAGCCTCATACAAAATATATGTTCGATGAAAGTTTAAGACACACTGAGAGAAATGATTCGTTGCAGCTATCAATTGATACCCACGACCAAATTTTGTTCGGTCAGTCCGGCTTAGTCACAGACATCAAAATTTTAGTCGCTGTAACCGTTATTTTGGTTGCTGTAATCAAAAGTTTAGTATCCGGACGGATCGTACAATTTTTGATCGCTGCAACGAAACATTTCTCTCAGTGAATGTATTCAAACAAAACGAAGTTTCTTTCTAACTACATTTGATAGGACTTAAACTGTCCATATAAAGATGCGTTTTTGTGTACATCTCAACTGGATGCTGATTGGAATCTAGCAAGTGAGGAATTTGCATCTTTTATGTGCACGTGTGAAAGTTTTTACTATCAATTATCTGAGGCTAGATGCGTGTAAAATCGTTTTTTGACACAAATTTGTTCCTCCGCATTTAAAGTGCGTTCAACGCTCGAAAGCATAGCTACTATAAACGGCTCCAATGATCGCAAAAGCAGAAAACGATGCAGAAAAGACGATGACATTTGGCGTATGACGTATATTGACAGGTCTTGACCCCAACCGTACCAGGTGATTCAGAGCACGCGCCGCCGTGTTGCGGGTTTGCCTATCCTCGATTCGGCGGGCGCACGGATGAGAGGTGAGGAGGGGACCCCTCTCCTCCTCACCTCTCACCCGTGCGCCCGCACGGATGAGAGGTGAGGAGGGGACCCCTCTCCTCCTCACCTCTCACCCGTGCGCCCGCCGAGTCGAGGATAGGCAGACCCGCAACACGGCGGCGCGTGCTCTGAATCACCCGGTACGCGCGCGTAGCCACTCTCTAACCCAGTGCCTGTTACTTTGCAGCTCGGCGCTGAGCTCGACGCCAAGCGCAGCGGCTGGAGGACGGCTGCCCGCTGGTTGCGCGGCGCGTTGGGGCTGCTGTGGCTCGAGGAGGAAGACCTGGTGCGCGCCGCCGCGCGCAACGACATCAACGCCATCGGCGGCGTTTACGGCGTCGTCACACAGCCGACTGACCCCGCCGCACTGGTGAGCCTCATCACCGACGATCACTCTCTCACACTTCAAATGTGGAGGAGCACTTTTGTGTCAAAAATGAGATGGGTTTTAGCCCGACCTGTTGTGTGTTCAATTGTCTGTCTCACGGAGGCTGGTTGTGCGACACTGTAACCAAAATCTTGCGATAATTAAGGAGGTCGGGTAACAAGTGCACACTGAATTTTAAAATATTTCCCTCTTGTTTGACGGTAACGTTCCTACACCCTATACCCCGCATGGAAAATTATGGCATCAGATTAACAAAATGCGAATCGGCGTTTGTCATCAGTATGTCATCATTTTGTCATCCGCTTATCACTCGTTTGTCATCAGATTGTCATCCGATGACAAACTATGGTCAGAGAACGGCTCGAGCTAGCTCAAGCCTCACCGTACGCAATTTAACCGAGTGTAAGTTTCCTGCCTTATGTTCCTCTAGTAGACCGCATTTCCCTCTGATTGCCTAAAGTGAGCGCCGTAGAGCAAAACGGCTTACTGTGATGTTTAAGGATAACATACTCTGTTTCTGAGAAAAAGAAATAATCCTAATATCATCTTTTAAACGGCTCGAGCTAGAGAATTTCTAACACCACTATAGTGTTAAGATTAAAAAGTTCACGTGGGAGACTTCTTCTACATCCTCCGATCGACTTCTTGTCACTCCATTTACTCTACTTACCGTATAGGCTCGTATTGACTAGGGCATCTGGTGTGAAGCATGTTCGGTTAGAACATGCCAAGGAGGAAGGCTAAGTCAGCATGACACAGGGCTGCCAGCTACTCACTTTTCTCACTTTTGCTCACTTTTTTTAAAAAACTCACTTTTATTCACTTTTCTGGTAAAAACTCACTATTCTCAATATTTTAGTCTGCGGGGGCACCTATTCCGTCAAAACTGGCCCCAATGAAGCATAAAAGTGTACCCTTGATGCATTTTGGCGTTAGTGAAGGCATATTTCAGCATCCTTACGGAAAATTTTAGTGCCCTATGGTTCCAAAAATTTTCTGCTCGCCTCGCTCGCATATAGTTTGCTAACCAATGCAAATCACGCCTTAATGCACATTGTAGCGCCCTTTTTTTCAATTTTCGCGCTCGCTTCGCTCGCAAATTAATATGTTTGTACTCCCGCAACAGTTAGTATTATTATTTGCAATTTCATTTGAATCACGCATGAGTTCTGATCCTTATAACGCTTGAACTCAATTGTCCGAAACCGAGTCCTTAAAAATGGTGTCGATGCCACGTCGTGGCTAGGCCTACGTGACCGCAACGCGGATGCAACATGTACATTTTAGACATTGCCTATAGGACTGTCTCTACCAGAAGGCAAAGTCACCCCCACCCCCTCCCCCCACCCCTTCTTAGCGAATTTACTTTCTATTTTGCGTTCCCGACCGGGAGTATGTCAGTAACTCAATTGGGTTGTTGTTTTCCCCACTTTGTATTATGTCCCATATAACTAAAAGTATCTATTTGTACACCGCGTAGTTCACATTTTATCGATATTGATGCCTATTTTACAGACCTATGGCTTACCTTTCCTCACTTTTCGCTCTGAAATGCTCACTATTTGCTCACTTTTTTGAAGCTGCAACTCACTTTTCTCACTTTTTAAAAACCTATGAGCCGCTGGCAGCACTGATGACATCAAAATGACTAAAAAATGACCTTTCAGGTCAATGTAGGGGAACCTTTATACATCACGAAGGCCTCAAAATGGTCCCTCATAGTGACCTGAAAGGTCATTTTGGTGTCACGCTGACTTAGCTCTCCTCCTTGGGTATTTCTCCAGCGATCTGGAGCGACGGAAGCAGCCAGTTTGTCATCCGTTGGTCATCGGATGACATTCTGACGATAAACTGATGACAAAATGATGACATACTGATCACAAACGCCGATTCGCATTTTGTCATCCGTTTTCATCAGCATGTAATGAGGTTTACAATCAGACTGTCATCAGATTGCCATCCGTTTGTCATCGGCGAGATGACAAACCGATGAAAATCTAATGCCATGGCAACAATTATGCATAATTGTTCATGCGGGACGTCGTAGTTTCTTCTGCAGTATCTGAAGAGGAAGCTCCAGTCCCCTGCTAGGAGGGGCCTCGCTGGCCACTCTCCCGGGCGTGCGGCCCGCGACGCACGAGGAAATGTATCACACGACCCGTACAAAAATAAAGAGATCTAGGTTGTCTCCACGGGAGATAGCGTGGAGACTTTTTGGAGACGTTGTCAAGACAGCCAAAAGCCGAACTTAGTCAACACGGAGACGACCTCGAGACGTGGCGTTTTGTCTCCAGTTGCGTCTCAGTCGAGGTCTCAGTCAGGTCTCGTTTACGATCCCGTTTAGAGACGACACAGAGCCGTCGCGTGGAGACAATCTGGAGACATCGACATGCGGCAGATGAAGAAAGGCGAAAACGAGAATCGTTGTCGGAGCGGGCTGGGATCGACCCATCAACCTTCCGCCTCAGTGATCACTCTAGCCCAGTGGTCACCGGCTCCGCTCGGCAGACGGAAGGTTGGTGGGTCGATCCCAGTCAGCTCCGGCAACGATTCTCGTTTTCACCTTTCTTCGTCTGTCGCATGTCGATGTCTCCAGATTGTCTCCACACGATGGCTCTGTGTCGTCTCTAAACGGGATCGTAAACGAGACTTGACTGAGACAAAACACCACGTCTCGAGGTCGTCTCCGTGTTGTCGAAGTTCGGCTATTGGCTGTCTTGACAACGTCTCCAAAAAGTCTCCACGCTATCTCAAGTGGAGACAACCTAGATCTCTTTATTTTTGTACGGGGATTTCTCGAATATGCGTCGCCCATAATTAATTTGAAACTTGGCCAATGGACAGTACAAGGTCCCTTCTCGGCCTCAGTCTGCTTAAAATCGCCTCGACATTGCCTGATTGCCTCCTGGTGCGAAACTGAGTTGAGGAAATGTAGCTCACAACAAGTTTTGAACCAAGCAACATTTTGAGGAAAGTAGTGTACACTGTAAATCCGGGGTGCCCAGCAGGTAGGCGACAAAGTCGCCTGACCCGCAGAACTAGGCGACTTATGTCGCCTAATCCTACAACTGCAAATTTAGTGATTTGTGGGAAAAGTCTAAAATTGACCTGAACTTTGAATGGCTATATCTCCTAAATTATTGGAGCTACAGCGCGGGGAATTCGCAGGGATTGTGTGTATAACGAAATTACCATGCAAAGGGAGTCAAAATCGGCCAAAGGGTTAAAAAACGGTAGCTGTTTGAGAAAACACAGAAAAAGAACTGCTTTGCGGCATGGGTTAGCGTTGTCCCACCTCAAAACGGTTTAAGGGCGTTAAACTTTGAATTATTTGCAACAAAAACTCAAGCGGGCCCGGTCGATTTTCGAAAACATGGTTTTGGGGAATTGGTCTACCCTCCGTGATTGTTCGGGGCTGCCAAGGGTTCAGGAACCCACTCAGCTGCCATCTTTGAGGATGCTGGGTTTGTCACCTGAAACCGAGATCATCATGTATGGTCGGCATCGTGCCCTGGTGGAAGGGCCTCGCTATATGAACGGCTCCGGTCAGATCACGAACCTTGGGCCAACAGATTCCTTGTCGTGAGTCAAGTCAAGTAGCGCAAGCATCGGCTAGTCTTGGTTGAAACCAAACCCATATTTTCCAGCCCGCCGTGTACCGGGTGATTCAGAGAAGACGCAGGTGTGGGCAGGCTTGCCCGTTTGACTCTATCTTGCACCGTGCGGGCGCTAGAGTGGTTTTTCGACGAAAACATGGTAAAAATGACCGTTGCACATACAGTCGTACAAGGAGGCGTCCAATCGTTAAATGTCATAAAAACTGCGCTTGGTTATTTTTTTATTTTTTTTGTTCTTTACTAAAGCGGAAGGGTCGGGTGTAGTCGTGGCGTTGCCCCGTTACATTTTTTTCTTATGTCCAAGGAGCAAATCCCTAGGGCCGCAGGCCCTTTCGCCGGAAGCCATAGTTTTCTCAAATATCCAAAGTGACTTACAGTGACCAAACGCCGCCGGCAGGCCGAGCTAGACGCAGCCCCCACCGAACGAAGTTGCTTGCGGAGCGTGTTGTCCGCGAGGGGGAGATCCGAGGGGTGTACGACTGGGTGGCTCCTGTGTACAGACCAAAATGTACTCCAGGTGTTCTCCGCTTGTACTCCGACTGTACTCCGTGTACTCCGGCTGTTTTTGTCGCAAGTTCTCCGCGTACTCCGACTGTACTCCGGGTGTACTCCAGGTGTACTCTGCGCGCTTCGACCGGCAATACTCAGTGTTCTTTGACTGTACTCCGTGTATTCCGTACTCCTGTGTACACGAAAAATTCAAGTCGCCCACCCCTCGGGGAGATCACTTGGGTTCGTAGCGTACGGGCTAATTCGTGGTATTTCTCCTGCCATTTCGCTTTTTTCTCCTGTCATTTCGGCTATTTCTCGCATATTTCGGATTATTTCAGAGTATTTCGCGGTATTTCGGAGCATTTCAGGGGTATTTCGCGACTATTTCACCGACTATTTCGCGTCATTATTCAATAATGTTTTTCAGTAAATAACGTGCCCGACCATCGCCGCCTGCAGGCCAGGCAGGCCCGGCCCCTGCCGAACGGAGTTGCCGGCGCGGCGAAGCGAAGCTGGCAACTTCGTTTGGTGAAAGGGCGGGCCTGCTTGTTTTGGTTTGGTTCAGCCGAAGTAGAAATTTTCTTAGCCAATTTGACTTGATCTAAGAAATCTTTTTCTGGGTGTCACACTGATCAAGTTTTGGACTTCAAATTTTAATACGTTGTTTAGGAAGGATGGAACGACACTTGTACTTACTTTCATATACAGTGAGCAGTGTCACACCATCAAATAATTATCGAAAGGTGCCATACCATTCAAAAACTGTGATTATTCTTTACAGGTTATAACCCAGCCCTCTTTTAACACACCATTATTCAATTTTGAGTGTTTGGTAATTTGTTCTATTTACAGGCCGACACAGGCGCTATTTTTGCCGGACTATCGCTGCTAGAGCACAACTGCACTCCATCATGCTCTGCTTCCAGCAACGGTGTTGTCGATACGTTTTCCACTGATGATTTCCCAAACCCAGCTGAGTCCGTTATCAAATCTTTTGAGGTAAAAAGGGGGATACATTCTGAAACCGTTTCTTCTGAATTAAAAATACACTCTAAACGTAAAGGATTTTTTTATTGTTATTTAATAAAGGGACAGAACGTTTGTCCCCAGCAACTAGGACCCAGAATAGTGCCCGATAGGATTTAAAAAGTTCTTAAAACAACTTGTTCCTTCGTCAGCTTGTTCTTTGTGTCAATTTGTGGAACAGTTTTCATGTAGGGTAAGATGCCCAATGATGGACACCTTAAGGAATATATCTGCCCAGTGATCACTGTGAATTATAGTCGTGGGGGTTACGGAAATAATTTCCATGACAGTTGTTTTACTTTTACGGGTCACGTTTGTAATTAATAAAAACGTAAATGTTGTAATTGTCTATTATGAGAAAGCCGTAAGATTCTAATACTCAGTCATAGATGCATGTAATAAATTTGCAATCCTAAACCATTCAAAGACTTACGACATTTCGCGTAAATTTACGATATTTCTTCGAAATCTATGATTTTTCCGTAAGTTCACGACTTTTCTCGTAGTTTTACGGGAATTTTCGTATTACGGAGGGAACGTCGTAACTTTACGATAAATTTAGTACTTTTCTGGAAAATGTCAAAACTTACTAACAAATTTCGTAAATAGTTTCTATGCGATTCGTAATCTCATGAATTTTTTCGTTGCATTATGAAAAATGTTGTAGTCTATTCTTACAACAAAGAATCATAAATAGAAAATACAAAATTTGTTGTAAATTTACTTCTTATAATTCGTAACTTTACAAATCAATATCGTAATCATAAATTATAAAATTCGTTGTAAATTTAAGAACATTTTTCTCACAGTGGATGGACACACTTTTTTCTAGGAATGTAAAGAATGGAGCGAAGTATAGTATTGGCTTATTTTACTCCGGTAGGGGTCTTACTAGAACATAAGTTTCGTGCCAAGATCGTAAAGTGACGAGTTTGGCTGCAAATCGTGAAAAGTGGCCATCACTGGTACAGTGTATATCACTGGGCACCTTACCCTATGTGGACAATTTTGCTGTCATCGTATTCAGACACATCTCTGTAATCTGTTGTCTGTAGTATTGTCTTTGGATTTAAAAGTGTTTGGTGCCTGTGCCACGCCCCTCAGCTTGCCACTTGCCGCCTCGAGGGGTCCTCCACTCTCGAAGTGGGTGTACAACGAGTTGCGTGGGTATCCGCGAGTATTCGAGAGTATTAGCGAGTATCCGCCAGTTTATGCGAGTATCCGCGAGTATTAGGCGAGGAATTTGTCGTTTTTTTGCGAGTTTTCGCGAGTTGTCGCGAGTATCTTGCGAGTATTTTTCCTCGTGTACAACGAGTTGCCAAGTGGGGGACCCCTCGGCCATTTTACAGTGTACGTTACTTCTGACTGCCATTTGCACTTTTTTTAAACCTGTTTCGCACCAAAGGGGCAGAAAGGGCGCGCTGATAACTTCGTGACGACTACCAGGCTGGTGCGCAAGGGAGAGCACTTGTCGATCGATTACCTTGACGATCCCCTGATCAGCACGTCGGTGCGGCGCAAGCGTCTGCGAAACTGGGGCTTCCGGTGTGACTGCGAGCGCTGCACAGACCCATCTGAGTTCGGATTGTATCTGGAGAGCGCGTGCTGCGCATCGTGTTCGGGTAAGAAACCCCACTTTAAATTTTAAAGTACTCTTCACACTGTTTTATTCCTGCAAAGCAATGCTTTTGCTGAACTTCGAAGTATTTCTATCCTTGGTTGCTACGAAACATTTACTTTGCAATTATACAAAGTATGATGTTTGGCAATTGCAAGGCGATGTTTAAGGGGGCAGACCTGTGAATTGAAGGGTTTGGGAAAATAGTCACTACATAAAAACTTCAAGCCGCATCAATTTTGGATTAAACATGTATTAAGAGCATAGATGGACGCTTATATTGCCGTTGGCGCCGGTGAGCGCACCCTCCAGGAACATGCCCATCTTCACCTCCAACAAGACGATGCAGTCTGTTTGGTGTGCACGATTGTGCTGCAACGGATTGGTCTGCGACTGTCAATAAAATTCGATAAAATTGCTACTAACTCTTAGAAGATGTAACTAGTGGTTGACCTGGGGGGGTTTTGCAAAGTGTTTTGTCCATTGTGATTATTTTTTTGTGCTGCGGGCGCGGCCGGGTGGCTGGACCGCTAGGGCTCGCCTAGCCGCTCAGGACAGGACACACGACGAGGAAAGAGTCTTCTAGAGCCCCGGAATCTTTTAGGACCAGTACTGAAAGTTGCCCCTACTTTTGGTTCGTCGTTGCACATCGGTACTGAAAACTTTAAACGCGTTTTTCTCCCACTTCTGTTTTGCGTTACTGTGTGCAGCCTCCAGGCCACAGTTTTTGAGCTACAGCCTGGCCACTTCGCCTGGTTGTAGCCTAGATACCTTTCGTTTGACGAGAGCGATTTTTGATACCTCATTTCTTAAAGTACCGAAATAGGGGTTAAAGTACCCAATTTTGACCCAAATTTTACGTCCCCAAACTTTACTAATTTTTTTCACACACTTAAAAGTAAAAATTTCAATATCGCTCTCGTCAAACGTAAGCTACATCTTTTAAGAGTAAATGGGCATTTTTGTCGTTGCTGTAGGTCCATCCGTTGTCGCGCAATCCTGCACACGGTAAAGGCCCGTAACCCTCCACTTCGAGACAAAGAAGAGCATGTTCCCAGAAAAGCAAGCAGACGTTGAAAGCGCTACGCGATTCTTCGTTTTCTTGTAGTTCCTATTTTACCAAACCCTTGCGTTCCACAGGTCTGCCCCCTTAATTTAGAGTGGCGGGAAAAAAGAATCAGGCAAATTTAGGAAATTATTTCAAATAATCTTGGCTTGGAAACTGATTTCTTGATGTTGGATTTTAGCTAAGGGCAGCCGGCACTTCCTTATTTTTAACGAGGTAAAGAAGATATTTATCTGCGAGGGCTGTGGACACGAAGAAGTTGAAGATCCTGCTTGGATTGAACAGGTAAATAACACTGAAACTGAACATTTCTGCTCCGTTTACGACATGTTTTAGCCCTATTGTGTGGTTTAATTTGGTATAATCGCTGAGCGAACAGAAGTTATCTCGGTCGTAGGATCCGGGGTGGTGCTGGTATTGAGTCAGCACGTTCGTCTGTTACCGGTCTGTTTTCCTACATCGGTGAAAGTGACAATGCTTTGTTATACTTGCTGCGAATTTTCAAGTAAATGAACAACGTTTCGATTATATCCATTATATCAGAGTTCAGAATACGTACAATCATTGTACCTAAATAGGGCGATTTTTAGAGAACATGGCCTGTAAAAGCTGTAGTTTTAAAAGAATTGAAAATCGGTGGGGATTATAAAATCTTCTCACCGAGACACACCTACCAACACCTTGAACGGTTTTTTATCACCTAACGTGTATCAGTGAGCCACGCTAGAAGAGTGTCCGTATTTAGGGGCCTAAGTGCCCTAAATACGGACAGCCTTTAAAAATAATGAAAAGTGAAAAATTGTTGGGGAAATAGTAACTTCATGAAAAGATTTGGCCTTACCCTGCCGGTGAAATTTTCTTATCTGGTGTAGTTTAGCCGCCAGAATTGCTTAAAGATCGTTTTTATAGTCATTTAAAGTGCCTTAACTTAATACGGACAGCAGTCACTTTTTCATGGAAAATCTTTTGTCCGTATTTAGGAGACTGCGTTTGATTTCATGCTGGTTTTCATATTAGTGTATAATTGAACATTTTAACGTAAGATTTGGCAATACAACTCAAACCAGTTTGCCCATGGAATTTTTCAAAGATAGGCCTGTTTTAGCATACTTTAAGATTTTCAGAGCTTTCGGTGGCTCCTTAAGTTCTGGGAAAGCTGGAAGGTCTAATTTTGTGAATGGTTTGAAAAATTAAAAAGGAAAATGTTAAGAAACGTAGGCTCCGAGACTTCAAAATTTCACCACAATGTCGCCTTAACGACGCTTTCACGAACGTAGTGCGTTAATTCTTCGAGGCCCGTACTGTAACGACTTAACTTTTTTTTGTCAACGTTCCGAACCCTGCCGTCGGACTTGAGTATGGTTTTTGCCGTTTTTACGCGTTCTTTCTCGGCGTGTGTCTCCTCTATTCGTGTCTGATAGCGATTGATGCTTCTGTTTACCAGTTGGCCTTTTCTGCGTTGCTGGACAAGCCCGACACGGGCGTGGTGGAGCTGCACCGCTTCGTTGAGCGCAGCGTGTGGCCGCGCGGCCTGCTGCACGCCACGCACAGCCTCGTCATCGAGGCCAAGTCCACCATGGTGCAGTTCGCTCGGCCGGATCACCTGCTGGGAGCTGGCGGGATACCTGGTAGGCTATGCGGGCGGTGTCACGTGCACATTGCTGTGGGGTGTGGCTCTGGTCAAGCCCAAAGGGGCCACCACTTTGATTTACACGGTAAAAGCAATGTCTGTCTCTTTTTTAGCCCGCCCTTCTGCTTTGAAAAAGCTATCCAGCGGGCTTATGCAAACGACCTCGTGT